TATCCTTCTCATGCATTGTAACGTTTTAAGCATACTTCACTTTCTAATCAATAACCACCATTCTTCTACCAGCTACTTCAATTATCCAGGGATTATGATGTCTCATTGTAACAGTAATACTGATCTACTAGTACCAAGTAAGTCCATAAAAGCCTCTTTTCTACATTCATTAGTCCCAGAAATAAGCTTTAATATGTCAGTCTAGTTACGTCGTTTTAATCCATGAAACGAGTGTCTGCGATGATCGTACGAAACGACAGTGTGGCGGTCATCCGGCCTTTTGGCTCTACTCCGGCCGGGACAAACAACAACCCGGGCCGGCCACCCATACCCATACCCATATGCCAGCCTGTCACGTCAAAGCCAGTATGACAGGACACAAGCCCACTCAGGTCCCAGCGACACCAAACCCACCTATACACACACACGCAAACTTATCAAAGCTTCTCTTCCATCGCGACCAACTCGCCCGCCCGTGCCATAACCTCCTCAATGCTCCACCTCTCCTTCGCATGCCCATGCCTGAAATCCAAAAGATCGCCTAGCTCATCACACGCCTTCAGAATCAGGTCGACGTCCTCCTTCGTGTGCGCCGCGCTCATGCAGAAGCGTGCCCGCCCCGAAATTAACGGCGTCGCGGGGTAGCCGACTACCACCACCACGATTGGGAGGTTCCGCGCTAACATCAGCCTGGAGAATAACGTCATTTTGCCGGGGTTGAATAGTAGGAGGGGGACGATGGGCGAGTCGTCGTGGCCGTAGATGATGAACCCGAGCTTTTGGAGACCGCGGGAGAGGTAGCGCGAGTTGAACGCGAGGCGGCGTAAGCGAGTTTGGCCTTCAGACCCGTCTTGTAACTGCGGGGGCAAGTTCATCCAAGTTGGCATGGACGACGCAGGCGCAGGACCGGGGTGCACATCATACGTCTCCAAGCCATTCAGAGTTAACTCTGATTTGGACGGATCATGCAGGACGGGAGGCAGAATTCCCATGATGGAGCCCATGGACGCGACGATTTGCGTGAGGACGGCAGGGGAGACAGACTCGGAGTAGCAGGTTGCGTGGGCGCGAGTGCGAAGGACGGTGATGAGGGAATGGGATCCTGCGATGTAACCACCTGCGGCGCCGAAGGATTTCGTGAATGTGCCCATAAGGATATCGATTTTCGCGGGGTTGATGCCGAAGTAGTCGGCTACGCCGCGGCCGTTGGGGCCGAGAGCGCCGATGGAGTGCGCTTCGTCAATGTAGAGGTAGAACTACGAGGCGTGAGAGGATACTTACATTTCTATGTATGCAGGCTTACCTTGTATTTCTTCTTTAACTCCATGACGCGGGGAAGGTTCACTAATGTACCTTCCATGGAATACAAGCCTTCGACGACGACAAAGATCTTCTTCCATGGTCGATGCGTCCTCGGTTGCCCCTGGCTAATAACCTCCCTCAACAAGGATTCGAGCACGTCCATATCGTTATGCTTAAATGTTCTGACATTAGCACCGCTTAACCTCACACCCATCCGAATCGACGAATGGTTCTGTTCATCAGAAATAACCAAGCATCCTTTTCCCACGAGAGCAGGCAGAGTCGTAGTATTGGTCGCGAAGCCCATTGAAACGATTAGGGCATCTTCGTGTCCTATAAACTTGGCGACGAGGGCCTCGGCTTGCTGATGCAAATCGGTCGTGCCTGCCTCACGACGAGCACTGCAGGAAGACACGCCATAACGTCTGATGCCTTCCTCGACTGCGTCCGCACAACCGCCTTCTGCTTGTGCAAAGCCAAGATAATTGTAGGATGCGGTGTTCAGAGCACGAGTTTTGGAGCCCGTAAGTGTGAAGGAGAGGTTGTTATCGTCTGACACGCGGTCGAGTACCGTTAGGGTCCGGCCCGGGACGCCGGTGATGGGACGAGAGAAAACATCGTCCATACGCTGCTTGAGACGACGCGAGAAAAACGAGTCGAAGTCCGAGTTCAGAGCTGCATAACCCTGTAGATCGAATATCAATACGTCATTAAATGAGTGGGATTGGTAACTCACGTTGTTGGGCATGAGATGACTATATGAGTGGGGCCTGATGCGTTTTCCAAAAAAGTCACGAACGTGGCCTAACAGGATGAGCATAATGTACGACAGGTAGGTCATGACGAGGATGTAGTAGGGAGGATCCTCCTCGACGCCTGGCCCGATCCTGGTGGTGGACTTGAAGACTGAAACATGTCGGTAGGTCTCGTTCGCGCAACGACCAAACTCGCTATGCTTGCTGCTATACTGCTCCGCAGAGGTGGGGGGGCTGAGAGGCCTCTCAAGCTCGTTTAAGGGTTCCTCAAAGTCGTCGCTAGGGGTACGGCGACTGGATATGGTGCTGGAGTCGTCCTCTGTGCGGACGGAGGAGCGAATGGAGGGAGACGTGCCCGTGCTGTCGTCCTCTGGGATACCCATGCGTGCTCGAATGGATGCGTCTGCCTGGGAGAGGGCGGTGAGGTAAGACGCCGCATTGCGCATGGGACGACTGAAAGTGAAGCGAGAGGGCTGTGTATTTGTATTTTGATGAGCAATTGGTGAAGGGGCGGTAAAGGGTGATGACATTACGGGGTGATGGGGAAACTGGAGAAAGCACCAAAAAGCTGGGGTGCGGTAGACTGGCAGGTATTTCAAGGAGTTGAGACTTTGAGCCTCCGCCCATCCCCGCCAAGAAGTTTGCCAATGCGATAGCGGACCTAATAATACGAAGCATAGCCTTAACAGCTCTAAGCGCCAGTGGTATAACACGTGCGTGCGTGCCTGCATTGCGCCTATGTCCCGGTATCTTTTGCAATATCATCAGTAAACGAGAAAGAAGACGTCGTGAAAGAACTTGCCGTAGCTCCACGTTACACGCGATAATATTCTAACTGCGTAGCGAATGAGATAAAAGCCTGGAAGCAGGCGCTTCGTCTGGAATTCGATCATTACCATGGTAACAATTGGGTGCGCATTATGTGACGTCGTTTGCGGCTCTATAGGCATGCGGGGTCCGTATGCAGTGTAAGTTCGAAGTAATGAAGTAGAATAGGATGTCTCTTCAGAAATATGCATGATGTAATCTTTTAGGGACGTCGCCCAAGCCGTGTTTTTGATAGCATAAGGCCTTGTTACGATGCTGAACAGGGTTTCCTTCGATGATCCAGTGGCCTACTAGCGGTCATGATTGATTTAGAATAGACCTATCGAAACAGATGTTAAATACTGACAGACTTACAATTAATACCACCGGCAACTCCCCATATATAGCAGGCCGTAACGATATCCGTGATCAAATGGAGAGTACTTAACTATGCATAATTCGATAGATAGCAAAAGCATGACTCGAACAGGTGCAGCTTCTGAATCCGACATATCACAGTTCATGATCTTCAAGCTTCAAGCGGCCGGTGTGCTCGAATTAATCGTTAATGAATCGCGTGGGACCCCGTCATGAAGTGGATAAGCTGCACCCTTTCCTGGAAGGTAGCCCAAAAACGGTGATAAGAGCAAAAGAATGCTACGTCGAAGAGAATCTTGATTCAAAAGACTTACAATTCGATATAAAGTTGGCTCTTCATCAAGATTCGACTACTTATCGTATGAGAATTTTCGTGTTGACAGACAACTTAGAGAACAATAGGTAAAGAATGCAATTCTAAACGTAGGTATCACACTCAAGCAGAGAGAAAAACGAGTGAAAGAAGCGTGCGCTTGCCCCGGCCGTGAATCCGCGGAAGGCGTCGGGCACTGAATTTGTTCTTCTGTCCCCTATTTTTTTTAAGAATCCATATTAATCTTGAATCTTTAAATAAACCCAGAAGAGATTACGGATAGGAAAAATTCGGATGACTAGCCTCAGGGTGGAGCTAGTACTTATGATGGGTTCACTCTACAGGTCCAGAACTCAAATCTAGAGCTCGGACATTTTCTGACAAGGTAAGCTGACAAGTCAATTTTATACCCACAATGGCTTCTAGAAAAGGGTACAGACCACTCGTTGTTCGTTAGCGCACATAGATAATTATCGAAGATAATCAAAATTATGCAATTATTCGCATGTGAAGATGACTGTTTTCACTGGCATCCTCCCCGAATATGTTATCGTTCGATACATTTTCTATCGCCTTGCTAGCTCAATCGGTAGAGCGTGAGACTCTTAGCATTATTTGTCTTCAAAGGCGAATTGTTAGAGTATAATCTCAAGGTTGGGGGTTCGACCCCCCCGTAGGGCTTGACCTTTTTGACAACGGACACTGTCAAGAATGTATTACTAACACTTTTATCACACCATATTTACTATTCAATGGAAAACCCAAGCTTACATCTGTAGTACAGGGGTATACTGATCACTCCGGATTCAAAGTATAACAAGAGCAGCGCAATAGTATAAAGAACGCTCATCGTAAGTCATTGTTAACATTATGAGGTCTAACCGATACATACGATATCAATGAAAAACTGCGCCGTTGCATATTAGTCCAGAAACAATCAGCTTATATGCTGGAGTAATCATCGCTGCCTTAAATCACCGTCAATTCCACCGAGCATTATGCCGACAATAGCATTCTCACTAGGACTCCCGACAGTCCAAGTTCAGGTGTTACCATCAGCTTGGATTCTGGTGTGTATGAGGTTAGTATACATTACGACTTGATAAGAGGATTAACTCATGTTGAATCAGCGGTGCTGCTACGGATAGACCAGATAGCGAAGACAGGGCTCCACATCATAAGGAAACTGTCTCCTGAGCCTACACTGATTTGCTGGCCAGTGTTGGCGACGGACGTGATAGTCTGCGTGACCGCATTGCAGGTAGCTAAGGCCCACTTTAGGCGAAATAGTCATGAATAGCTTGTGACGGTAATAAACGAGTCTAAAGCTTACGGTCTGATTCGCCCCTCCGACCAACGGAGCCATAATGGGAGGCTGTCCAGGTTGATTAAAGGTTATTGCCAGTTTATTTCCTGCACTGGAAAGGCCTCTGTTAATTATAACATAGTTGCCATCGGCCGGTGTAGACTGTGCAACCACGAGGTAAACTGCAAAGAGGATGGGGCCGAAGATGGAGAGAAGTTGCATTCTTGGTTGTTGTGGTGAGGAGTGAATAATTGGGCTGTTTGTGAGATACTGGAGTGCTAAGTAAATTTCTGCTCCATTTTATAGGCAAAAAATAGTATTTGTGCCTTTCGGAATAATTGTGACCCATCCTTATCATAACCTAAAGATCCAGCCGGCAGCTGGTTCTCCGAAATAGTGGTTCTTAGATATTGCATGAGTGAATGAAAAATATTATCATTCAGAGGAAACTTACGTGAAATATATTGCGAGTGTGGCCATCACGGATAAACCATTGCTGTTGACCCAGTCTGGAAGTTCCTATCTGTGAGATTCGAGCTAAGCTCTGAAGGCTCCTCTTGAATTGTTAAACAGCATGCCAAGGCTCTCACAGTTTCTCTCGGGGCACGTTTTAATTCATAGCAGGCTCTGAATAGGTGCTCTGGAGAAAGCTTTGATGAGGTCTCGGGAATTCGGTCTCCCCGAAGATTTAATCTCCCTCTTATCAAATTGAGTATGAGCCCGGATCTGACCTGAATCCTTTTGGGTATCGATCTAATCATCTAAGTTATGGAAGTCACGTTAAGAGCAAACATTCATGCTGTATTACGCGAATACGCGTATACATATCATGTCATATCAAGCGAAGCGAGAACAAAGTATGCCAAGTGCCATTTCGACAATCTGAGAGGCCTGTATCCAGCCCTAAGTACATGACAGGTCTTGGTGTGTGGAAGGACCCGTATATAATCAGTACAATCGACCTCAGGATACTTGAGCAGCTCAAATATTCTAGTCCAGAGATTCAGTTTTCCGTGAGACGGTCGTTTCATTTGTTCGAAGTACATGTAGAAGCAGCAGCTTTGAGAGCCTCACGGATAGAAAGGATCTTTTCGGCCTCTTGCTTTGGTTCGACGTTGCGTTCCCTGACAAAAATACCGTGTTGACGAGCCTCTGCGAAAGCCGCGGCCTTGAGAGCTTGGTGAATAGCGTGAATCCTCTCGGCTTCTTGCTTGGCTTTCATTTTCTGGACGTGTTCAAGAGCAGCGGCTTTGCGGGCTTCTTCGAGTGCCTTGGCCTTACGGGCTTCTTCATAGGCAGCGGCTCTCAAAGCTTCCCTGAGGGCAGCGGCCTTCCTAGCATTTTCAATGGCAGCGGCCTGTTTGGCTTGTTCGACACGGACCTTGAAAATAGAAGAAATTTGAGTGTTTAAGTTTGATATAGTGGGATGGAGTTGAACTACCTTCTCGGCCTTGATACGCTCCTCCTTCTCCTCGACAGCTTCACGAAGACCCAACAATTCGGCCAAAGCATTGCCAACGTAATCTTCAACGTTGCGCTCTTCCTCCTCTTCGAAGTTTGGAATGACGACTACAGGCGCCCTTTGTTGCCTGAAAGGAAGTTGGCCGTGAGGGACATAGCCGTGTCGACCGCCGGGAGCTATGCCATAACGTGCGGCGAAGGCTTCACGGCGTTGGTATTCAGCTTGACGAAGGGCTTCCTAACGACGACGATCAGCGAGGACACGTTGTTCTTCGATGTGGGCGAGATATTGACGAGAGGCCGCAGCTTCAATGTAATTGCGTAATTGCTGTTCTTCGGTTTCGACGAATTGTTGATGAGACGCGTAGGGCGGATTCGAGTATACGACTCGAGGAGTGCGGGTGGGATAAGAAGGTACAGTGTATACAAGCATCGTAGAATGTGTGGCGTATGAGACTATTGGATAGGTTGCTTGTTGTGTGGATTTGAGATATTCTGAGGAGCAATGGACCACATTTCGAGCCCCTTTTAAACTTCCAAATATGACCTTAGTCAGGCAAACGCGTCAGCTCCTTGAAAGCACTTGCTCATCCTTTTTAGAAAGTGGCGGAAAAGCGTCGAAATGACTGGTAACTTCCACTGCCCCGCCGCTGACACAACGCATCAGTAACCGGGGCCGTTCAAAAAGCCATTATAAATGCAGTGAACCAATTGATGAAAGACGGAATTACAAGGTGTTCTTGTCAGCGTGGATGGTTTGGTAATAAAGCAGTCCGATGGAGATGCGCATGCGAACGGAGTCAGCATGACTGTCACTGTGACGGTTGCCATTTTGGGATTCACCACCTCCGACGATTAACCTGTCCGAGTCCGACATGGATGCATTGAAAGCTGGACTTTGCCGAACCTTATCGAACCTTGTTGAAGATGCTCGAAGAAAACACAATTTGCTGTAGCTGACACACTTTATCTTGGGGGCTCAAACGCAAACTTGTCAGCAAGGAGGAGGTCACGTCTTCGTCTGTAGAGTCCCCAAACTGGACTACCTGTGTTGGATTTTTTTCTGGATCAGTCTCATAGAACCACAAATCTATCTTATCTAATACAGCCTTGAAGCCTTTGTAGGTCTTTTCTGGGCATGCTTTATACAATTAAAGCATTTATCTAGAAATGGAGTCCATTCAAATGGATGATTATTTCTGTTTATACCAGTCAAAGGGCTAGTATATGCTGAAACATCTGGTAAAAATAATGCCAGATAATTGCATAATCCTACAAATCATAGGATTTCAGTGTAGCTTCTTGGAGTGTGCCAGTTATGAATTTGATACAGTTTATCTGTATCAGCATGAATACCTTGGTCATCAATTACATGTCCAAGGCAATCCATTCTATCCAAATACAAATCTACCTTAATTTTACTCAGGTATAAGTGATTTGCATGTAATAATGTGAACACTTGATTTAAGTGTTCTTCATGTTCTTCTATTGACATTGAGAACACAAATATATCATCCAAATATACATGGACAAATCGACTCACTTGTTTGATGAATATCATAGTCATCAAATGCTGAAATGTAGATGGTGCATTACAATCGCCCATCTGTGTCAGGGGACGCTCCTAGATTTCCGCCCGGAATATTTCCGTCTGGAACTACCCCTTGCGTCAAGCACCCTCTGGGAGCGATTCCGTGCGGGATTCACCCTCAACACATTCGTCGACTCTTGTGGCCGGAGAGTGGGAGGTTTGGTTGGAGACAGTGGTCGTCTGGTGGAGGGTATATGCGCATGTAGTCATAGCGCATGAGTGATGGGTTGTTTAGCGCCAGTCAGCTGTCGGGATCGTTTCATTGTTTCTCTGTTCGCTTCAGCTCCCTTTGTTTTCCTTCTCATTGGTTCGTCCCCCTTTCTTTATTGTTTCCGAGTTCATCAGATCATTGTTCATTTCCTTTCGGGGTTTACGTTCCCGTTCCGGACGGTATATAATGGGCTCACTCTGGCAGAGGCAATCCAAGTCTTTCTCTTTGGATTTCCCCTCTGCTAGGTGAGATTCCCGTTGCATGTATATATTTCGTTCATTTATGTATCTTTGGATTTCCCCTCTGCTAGCTCTGCGTGACGTCCGCTCGGCTCCGAGGGTTGCCCTTACAATCTGCATCACAAGACTTTCATAAGTCCCAAAAATTGTGGAAAATGCAGATTTATCCATATCTCTATCCACAATGTGTATTTGTTCATACACTTTAGTTAAATCAATCTTTGATCTAACTTGAGACCTGGCCACATCATTACGAATCATATCTTGGTCAGGGAAAGGAGTTACATCCTTTACTGTGTTTTCATTTTGCAATCACTTATCAAACACAGTTCTCAATTTGCCTGTCTTTTTAGCAAGGCATAGCATCAGTACAGCCTGTTGTGTTGATGTTTGTCTCCACCATCCAGCTGTAACATATTTATTGATTTTATCAATAATTGTTCTTTAAATGATTCAGGGCATTTAGGTGTCCTATATCGAATCACTTTCGATGGATCAATTAACTTGATCTCATGATTACCTCTCTGAATGGAGGTAACTCCAGAGGGATATCTCCAAATATATCCGCATACTTATTCTGCCATGCTTCTCTCAGAATTGGAATATCACTTTTTGTAAGTGATATTTTACTTTGAACACCATAAATATGCTGTTCAATTCTCGTATCCTCTGTTTTGCTGCTTCCATATGTAGCAGCAACTGTGGATGAGACTAATGGTGATATGTTATCAGTCTCACCCTCCTGACTTCATTTTGATGTAGGAGTAGGAAGAGCCTTAGGCTTTTCCTGTAGCAGGTGATTTTCTTTTTTTGTCTGCTTCGGTTGGGGTTATATTACCAAACCTATTGGGGAAACTAAGTTTACCTCACCTT